GGCCGGGGGGGGCTCCTGTGGGGGTGCCGTGGGGCCCCGGAGGCGGTTGGGGTTTGCTCCGTCTCCATGGCTCTGCTCGTTGGCCTCCAAGTCCTGGTGACGCGGGAGGGAGTGTGGTGGCCAGCTGCTCGTACCCGGGCGGGCGCTTTGTCTCCTGACACCTGAAAATAGCCCAGCCCGGGGGCAGGCCGGGGAGGGGGGTCTGGGGGCGCCCCAGCGCCTCGCGGCCCTAAGTGGCCCGGGGCCCCCTCCCTGGTCCCGGCATCTGCCAGCCCAGAGCAGTCCCTGGCCCCTGGCCGCGGCCCCGTTCTGCCCCTGCCCCCGGCTGCCCGGGATCCGTGCCCGGAGCCATTTCCCGTTGTCTGCGCTCTCTGCAGCTGCCGCCTTACGGGGGCGCCGCCCCGCCCCCCACAAGCGGGAGGCAGCCCTGTGCCAGCTGGGCCTCGCCAGGGGGCGGCTGCAGAGCCCGGGCCGCTGGCACCTTGGGGCCGAGGCTCACGCTTTATCGGGCACACGCGTCTCGAGGTTCCCACGCGTCCGGGTCCCCTAGGCCACGGCGGGTGGGGGGCAGGGGACGCCCCCCGTCTCCCCGGGGTACCCACCGCCTGGGTGGCTCCCAGGTGCTTGCGCTTGTGGGCTTCTGGGGAAAAGGCAGCCCCTTGACAGCCACGGGGCTGTGTTCGCGCAGGGAGAGGGGCACCCCGGGACCCCCAAACCTGCCCGCTCGGCTCAGGTCCTGCCGTCCATCCCTTCAAGGCAAAACACCCTGTAGCGGGCAGGACCTGACTGCCAAGGGACTTCAGTACCACGGTGTGCGACAGCGGGGAACGGCAGATCGGCCGCCCGGAAACGCCCCGAGTCGCCCGCCCCCTCGTGGGAAGGGCCCCCCACAGGGCCAGAGCAAGGCCGGGCTGCTGCGACCCCGAAGCCTGGGAGGAAGAGGGCAACCCCAGAACCGAGACGCCGGGTGGTCGCTGCCACCTCCCGTCCGGCCCACGTCCGCTTCCAGGGCCACTGCCCTGACCCCTGCAGGCCCAGGCGGAGGGGCCGGTGCGGCTGGGCCTCAGCCTGCCCCAGGCCTTGGCCAGGCCCTCCCGCCCCTCCCGCTCCCCGCTCCGGCAGCCCCTGTCCGGGGCATGTGCTGGACCCAGGCCCTGGGAGCCGCTGGGCCCCTGGCGGCCGGGCCCAGAGCAAGCGTCTGACGCCCTTGGGGGAGGGGAGAGGGCCACGTGCCCTGGGGGGGCAGGGGGTGCCCTGGGGGCCCCAGTCCCAGCCCAGCCCGCCCACAGATAGCCATCAGGCCCAGGGGCGGGTACAGAGCCAGGCCAGGCCTGTTACTGCCTGAAGCCCATCTCAGACCTGCTGGAACTGGTCTGGGGAGTCCAGGAAGCCCGGCTCAGGCCCACCCTGGTGGTGTGTGGCTGAGGCTCGAGGTCGCATTCCGCAAGGGCTGTGCCGGCGTGTCCCAGAAAGGGGCGTCGGCCGGGGGTGAGAGGCCTGCCGGCCTCTCCCAGTGCAGGGGCCGCTGGCTCGGCGTCCAGGGAGCAAGGGCCAGCGGCCACCCAGAGGTGCGGGCGCGTCCTCGGGCCGGAGGGCCAGCTGGGCGCAGCTCAGAGTCCCCCCTCGCCGCCCCGGGCACATGGCGTCCTTCTGAGCACCGCAGAGCGCCCTGGGCTGTGGCCTGACGAGGGTGAGGGGCGCCGGGATCCCCAAAGCTGTCGCCATGGAGAGGCATCTTCCGGGGTACGAGGCCTCGCCCGACGCGAACTCGGGGACAGTTTGTGCGTTTCCAAACCAAGCACCGAGGTCACCCCTGCCCGGTCAACGCCCGGCCCGATGGGGGGCGACCCCCAGCAGGGCCTCTGGGCCCAGAGCGGCCACACTGGCCGCTGGGACCCAGCCGGGACCCAGGGGTAAGGCCAGAGGGGCCCGGCCCGTGTGTGAGGGAAGCAGCAGCCGCCTCCGTCCGCCCCCACCCCTCGGTGCCTCCCAGTGTCCCCCGCGGGGTCCCGAGTCCAGGCGCGGCCTCCCCTGGCCCCTTCCTGCCTCCTCTCCAGCTTCACCTCCCTGCCCGGCCTCCCCCTCCCCCTCCCCCGGGCGGAGAAGGGGACCTGGACCTCCCCTTTCCCAGGGGCGCCCGGCGCACGGCCACTCCCGCTGGCTGCTGTGGACAGCGCAGGGGCCGCTGCCGATGACCAGTACTGGGGACCGGGGGGCCCTCTGCCCCTGGCGGCCACGCTGTCCGTCAGGCAGCAAGTGGGGCGGGCGGCACCCCGTCTCAGGTCGGCCCCCCGCTGCCTGGCCCGCAGGCCGTGCTCTCCAGCCTCATGGGCACACGTGAAGGGCAATGGCTTCCTCCAGGGGACTGACCCTTCCTCCCTGGGGCCTGGGGGGCCTCTTCCAGGGCTGCTTGCTCGAACGGGCGCCCCAGGCGGGGCCTCCGGGCACGCCGGGCACCTTAGGGAGGGACAGGACCTCACGATCGCCTGCAGGCCACGGCGGGGAGGGGGCCACAGCGCCCAGGGGGCCACGGCGCCCGTGGGCAGGGGCGGTCGGGGCCACTGGGGTCTGGCCCTGCGGGTCTTGGGTGCAGGGTGGAAGGGCGGTTGGCTCAGCGCCGCCGGGCAGCCGCCGGGCTCTTCCCCAGGCCGCGCGCTGGGCAGCTCAGACCCCACCGTGGCCCCGGGGCGTTTCGGGGACCCGCAGCTCACGCTGGGGGGCTGCGTGCACCCTGCTGTGCTCAGCCCAGCGGTGCCCGCCCTGCCCGCCCGTGTGGGGCCTGGCGCACCCCGCGGCAGGCGGATGGGGGTGCTGGTCTCCCGGGGCCACCCCCTCGTGCCCTCAAGCCCCTCCACGCGTCGCCAAGGGCGGGCGGCTGCCCGTGGTGCTGGCCAGCACGTCCCTGACCCTCATCTGAGGCTGGGCACTGGCCCGCAGCCTGGTCTCTGGCCCGCGGCCTCTGGGGGGTGACGCTGCGATGACTTGGGGGGCGCTGTCTCTTTGACCCGGTGTCTCCTTGGGGCGGATGCCCAGAAGTGGCTGGGTCATAGGGACGTTCTATTTTGATGGTTTGAGGAACGTCCACCTCGCTCACCATGGGAGGGGAGCAGCGGGGAGACAGGAGGGGCCTGCCGCGCCCCGGGGTCCCCTCGGGGCCGGGATCCATCTCACAGGAAGCGGCCGGCCCGCAGCGCTCGTCTCCGCACCAGGGAGGGCCCGAGGGAAGGTAACTGTGGCCCACGCTGTGTCTCCATGAAGTTGGTGAAGAAAAGTACACGCTGGGGACGCCACGGACCCCAGAGCTCTCAAAACTGAGCTGGGCGGTGGAGGCCAGAAGCAGCGCAGGGGGTCGGGGTTCTGTAGGCCAAGACAGGGCTTTGGGGGTCTCTCATGGTGGGGGCAGTTTTGAGCATGTGCATCTAGCCAAATTGATCAGACTTTATATTTTTTGCTATACATACATAGAGTGTATTTTTCGTTTTTTTTTTTAATTTTATAAGTTTATTTTTACCTCATTTTGTACATTTTTTTTTCCATCTGAATTGTAATCCCCGCGGGTTTCCCATCACCGAGTCACCCGTGTGCCATCACCAAAATCCCGTGCACTTCCCTCCCCACCCCCCCATTTTTGACCCCATCCCCTACTCCACCCCCACAGAATGTCTCTGGTCTATGGCTGTTCATTATTCTTATTATTTTCTCCCATGGTCCATTATACTCCTGCTATGAGGGAAACCATCCGGTATTTTTCTTTCTCTTTCTGGCTTATCTCACTCAGCATGATCTTTTCCAGCTCCATCCAAGTTGCTGCAAAAGACATGTGTTTCTCTTTTTTGGTTGCTGAGTAATATTCCATTGTATATATGTACCACATCTTTCTAATCCAGTCATCTACTTTTGGGTATTTGGGCTGCTTCCATGTTTTTCCAATTGTAAATAAAGCAGCAATCAACATGGGGGTACAAGTATCTTTTTCAATCAGTGTTTTTGTGTATTTTGGGTAGATACCTAGGAGTGGGATGGCTGGGTCGTAGGGAAGCTCCATGTTTAGCAGTTTGAGGAACCTCCAAACAGTTTTCCATAGTGGTTGCACCAGTTTGCATTCCCACCAGCAGTGCAGGAAAGTTCTTTTTCTCCACATCCTCACCAACATGTGTCGTTGCTAGTTGTTAGAAGATGTGCCATTCTCACTGGGGTGAGGTGGTATCTCGTTGTGGCTTTAATTTGCATCTCCCTCGTTACAAGTGATGTTGAGCATTTTTTCACATGCTTGTCAGCCATCTGCATTTCCTCTTTGGAGAAGTGTCTTTGTAGCTCTTCTGCCCATTTTTTTTTATCAGACCTTATATTTTAAAGATGCATTTATTGATGCACACAGAACTGGGGTGCAGGCCAGAGATGCAGGGGGTGAGAGGACTCCCCCAGAGACAGAGTGGGGAGCAGAACAGGCAGATGGACAAAGCCCACTGCTGAGGGGGGCAGCAGGGAGACAGGAGGGGTCTGCTGTGCCCTGGGGTTACCTCCGGGGCGGGGATGGAACAGATGTCTTGGGTGCCGGTGTAGTGTTGGGCCCTGGGGTGCAGTGGGGTGGTGCCCCTCCTCCTGTCCTTCTGCGCCATCGGGGCAGAGCCGGGTCGGGGCAGAGCCGGGTCGGGGCAGAGCCGGGTCGGGGCAGAGCCGGGTCGGGGCAGAGCCGGGTCGGGGCAGAGCCGCTTCCCGCAGGAGGTGGCCCGTGAGCTCCGAGCCTGTGTCCGTGGCCAGTGGGGGGGGGGGCTGGCTCGGGGGGCTCAGGTGTGGCGCCAGCTTGCTTTGGTAATGTAAGGGGGCCGGGGCGGCCCCGCGGCTCACACGCTGCCCCCACAGCGCTGCTGTACGCCACCATCTTCGGGAACGTGACGACCATCTTCCAGCAGATGTACGCCAACACCAACCGCTACCACGAGATGCTCAACAGCGTGCGGGACTTCCTGAAGCTCTACCAGGTGCCCAAGGGGCTCAGCGAGCGCGTCATGGACTACATCGTGTCCACCTGGTCCATGTCCAGGGGCATCGACACCGACAAGGTAGGGCGGCGGGGCCGGCCGGCCGGGCGTGCGCCGGGGGCTCGCGGGGTCACTCGGGGTCACCCGGGAAAGGCTTCCCCAGAGCTCCCTCCCAGCGGCACACGGCGAGGTTCTGCACGAGGCAGAGGCCCGGTTAGATCTCAAGAGGAGGCTCACTAGACAGACAGGAGACGGAAGGACGCTCGGACAGGTGCAGCGGGCGGGGAGAGCGGCCCGGGGGACGGGTTTGCAGGGAGAGGCTGCCTGGGGCGGGCGGGCAGCAGGGAGAGCGGCCGCCCCGAGGGGGTCAGTGCAGAGAGGTCCTGGCCTGGGCAGGTCACGGGCGGGCAGGAGGCCGCCGCCCTGCGGGGGGAGGGGAGGGAAGGTCACCCACGTGGGCACAGGCGGGCAGGAGGCCACAAGGTCACCCGCGTGGGCACAGGCGGGCAGGAGGCCGCCGCCCTGCGGGGGGAGGGGGCGGGAAGGTCACCCGCGTGGGCA